TTGGTTTATTTATAAATGTGGGATATAAAAATAAATAAATAAATAAATAAATAAATAAATAAATAAATAAATAAATAAATAAATAGCTGAGCTGCCTTTCAGTCATAATGTCTCCTATGGTTCACAGGAGGTTTACCTCTCAATTCACAATTCCACACAGAAGTGACTTCAAGAAAGCCAGTGAGTTTCCACAATGTGATCTTAAACATATACCATTTTCAAGAACAACACCAACAAGTTCTTAACTTTATTCATAGAGAACCAGAGGAATCATGGAATGAACTTAAAGTTGTTAAGGATGAGTGTGTGTGTGTGTGTGTGTGTGTGGAACCTGCCAAAACTGAAAAAAGAGAATAATGATGCCAGAACAAATTGTGGAAGCCAAAAAAGACATACTTGTCAGAAAGGAACTTAATAAACAGGTTCAGTGTGCTATTAGAAGAGACAAGGAACAGTACTGCAACATTTAAAAGGACAACAAAGAGAGAAACAAACACAGAAAAACAAGGGACATTTTTGAAAAGAACTCTGAATTCAGAAGAAAGTTTCAACCTCAAATTGGAATACTAAAGGACACCAATGGACAAATAGCAATCAATTCAAAGAGATCAAAGGAAAATGGAAAACATATACTGAAATACTGTATAGAGGTGTCAATATCCAAGATATCTCAGAACAGTGGTCTCCAAGCTTTCTGGCTTTGTAGACTGGCTGAGGGGAGGAGAGGAGATGGTTCTGCATAAGAGGTGGGCAAGCACAAATGGTACTGCATTCACATGCTCACCTGCCCGCTGTGAGTATGCCTGCTTCTGCAGCCGGTTGTGAACAGGCCATGGTCCGGTAGTAGCTGTGGCCCAGGGGACACCTGCCTTAGAAGATATTCCCTATCTACAAGGACCTCTAGTATTAGAAGCTGAAATTATATCAGCACTTCAGTTATTACCAAGTTAAAAAACTAAACCAATTATGGAGAATGACATAGTGGCCAGCCAATTGGAACAGGTCAAACTACATTCCAAGATAAAAAGAGGAGTTCTAAAGAATGTGCAAACTATTGTACAGTACAGTAAAGTAATGCTAGAAGATGGCATAATATCTTCCTGTCCTCAAGAAATGTTAATTCTGCTGAGGTCACCCAGTCATGTCTGAATAGGATAACTTGCTGCAGTCAACTTGCTATGGCCAATTTGCCACAAAACCACTTGCCATGGCCAATTTGCCGCCGGACAATTTAACAATTCGATTTAATTATTTAAAATAAATAAAAGATATTTTAATTTTTGTCATTCACATTTCATTCTATCCCTCCTTTTACACCCTTTCTTTAATGATTTAATGATTCTATTCCATCTTTTATTTGATATTAGTGCAACTCTTTGTCTTGCAGTGAGTTGGCTGTGGTGAGATGGCTATGGTGAGTTGCCTGTGGCGAATTGTCATAGACCCTAAACATGTAGTTCAGCTTCCCCCGCTTTTCTGAATTCTTCTACCATTCCTTTCCTGTCCTTTTTAGTGTCTGAATAAAATATTCTTAGTAGGGATTTTTAATAGGACTGATAATCCTCATA